CTTCACTTAGAAGATACATAAATTTTAGTTTTTTGAGATAGTTTTTCTGTGTAGTCCTGGGGGTCCTGAAACTTGCTCTGTAGACCAGGCTGGCCTTGAACTCACAGCTACTTATAAATGTCAATAAAATCTTGTGCACAGAAAAATCTAGAAAGATAAATGTAGACAGTAAGTGGATTTCAGCGATGGGGATACAGTTAACTTTTATCCTTTTAAATGTTCACCATAGTTTAAAATTTTCTATAGTATTTTATGGACTTTTAAAAACAGAAGTAAAGCGCAAAATCAAGCAATTGTGTCCACAGCTTAGAAGTGAAAACTATGAGTACACAGAGAAGCTTTATTTATTTATTTATTTATTCATTCATTTATTTATTCTTTTATTTTGAGTCAGAGTCTCATTATACATAGCCCTGGCTGGCCTGGAACTCACTATATAGACCAGGCTGGCCTTGAAAACTCCCAGTTATCCACCTGCCTCTGCCTCCAAAGTACTAGAGTTAAAAGCAAAAATCACCTACATTTGGTCCAAAGTTAAGGGTTTTTTAAAAAAATAATTATATATCTAACTAATATAATAATATATATAACTTCATTATATATATTTATATATGTACAAACACACATATATATAATGTTCTTTGATCAAATCTCTCCATTACCTTCTCTTACCTTTGCCTTCCACTAAATTGTTTCTTCTTAAGTTCCCCTCCTACTTTCATGTCATGTATGTGTGTGTGTCTGTGCGTGTATGTGTGTATGTCCAAGGCATTTCATCAGTGTTTCCTGCATAAGTGAGGATATGTGTTATTTGCTAGAGTGGAGGCAGTGTGCCGGTGACTATATCACTGAGGAATGTGACTTAAGGGAAGGACCACTTAGTCCTAGACTCTCTCAGACCTTTAAAGAGCAGAGGAATTTACAGCCTTGTTTGAGAAGATTACAACCTTTTAAAAATGACATTTACTTTAGTGTGTACTTTCATGTGTACATGTGCATGTGTTTCCCGATGTCACAGGACACCTTGAGAGAGTTGGTCCTCTCTTTCCATCATGTAGGTCTTGGGAATCAAATTCAAGCTCTTAGGTTTGGTGGCAATCACCTTTACCCACTGAGCTATCTTGCTGGCTCCTTGAGGACATTTTTTGTATTTTGTGTTTGTTGTATAGCAAAATCAGCTGGTGAGTTTTATTTATACATCATTGATCAGATAGATCCATCACTTTTGAGTCGTGAATCTAGATGTTCTGTGGATAAATTAGTTTGCTCTGCATGCTGAAAACCATGGTCGTGGTCAGAATTCCATGCTGTGGATGGATAGTGTTTAGCTTACTCTCCAGTGTCCTGTGTCTCCACTAAATACCACAAAGGTTACATAGTTCCAGTAGCAAACGTTGCAATGGGAGGAGAATAGGAAGCTTAGATTTATGCGTGCTTGTCTTGAAATTTGCTGTCATGTCTGCTCTTCCACTCAGAAAAACATTCTTTCTATGCTAATTGTTTAGAACAGGGCAAAGTTTTATTTTAGAAAGAAAATTCTAATAAGCCCTTTGACACTTGCAAACATATGCACAATGGATCTTGATATATCTACCTTGTCTCCCCCTTCCCGAAGTTGCCATTTCCTGAGTGTGAGAACTTAGCTGTTGTTCTTTGCCACAGACACTCTTTTCCTCCCTCCTCTTCCTCCCATTTCAATTCTTTTAACAAGGGCTCCGTTAAGCCCTGCACCTCCAGAATTAATTTATGGTCAGTAAAATGCAGAGTGTTAATTTTAAGGGAACAAAATACCTGTTGCCCGGCCACCACTCCTGGGAAGAAGGGAAAAAGCCCACCCCCAGGATGGCTGTTTTCTGTGCCCCTTTAGTGTTTTTCTTTGCCTTAGGTATCAATTGGCATGGGCTCTGGATGCCAGTCTGGTATCACCAGACAAACAATAAAAGGGCTTGGGTGGGTGTGGTTTGCCAGGCTCCATGTCGTTGTAGTATAGAAAACGCCTGTGTGCCTGGTGTTGTTCAGACAAGGATGCTATGCAAGCAGGAAGGTTTGTGATGTTATTAATGGTGGCAGCTTAGGTGGACCACCTGGAATTGAGAACTACACAAGCCCCTCCCCCCAGTGTGTTCTTGACCCTGAGTTGAGAACCATACACCCCACCCAACCTCACCACCACCCCACAAAGAATGGCCAACTCCCTCATGAATATATTGAGTATGAGACAGATAAAACGAGACAACAGCAAACCAAAGCAGCCTGTGGACAGGAGGCCAGGATCCCTTTCAATCATCTTCCAGAGTGTCTCCTGCTGACCTCTCCACTCTGCAGCACTTTTTCTTTGTTGGGGTGAATTCCTGAACTATTCTTAGGAATTCATTTTCCTGGCTGTCTGAGAGCTGTTGGAGAGCCTGTGGGCAGTAATTATTGCCACAGGCAGGAAGAGATTAATAGAGAGGGTCCCTTGACTCAGCTGGAAGAGGAGGGCTGTTATCTCCTGCAATAGAGCCAGGAAGTCCACAGACCACACCATTCATTTCCCCTTCAGGTAGGAAGTAGAGCGTCTTCAGTCCCACAGCGATGTGGAGCAAGGAGCAGGAGAATTTACAGCGAATGTATTAAGGAAAATGTGATGGGCCAGATTCTGCTGGTGAAGCTGAGCTTCCAGTTAACGTGTGTATTATGTATTAGTGTGTTATAGACAGAGACTAGGGACTCCTGTCTGGGCTGCTGCTCTTGACATCTGGTGTTGTTCCGTGTGTCTTAGGTTATTTAAAAGTTTAACACTATACTAGAGAACCATGCCAGGACATAAAAGAAAAGGATAACTTGGCCTTCCAATAGCCCTCACATGTGGACAGGGTTTGTGTATTCTCTTCTGTATGCAGTATTCTTGTAAACTCCCTCAAGTGTCAGTCAGAAAGAGACCTTTAAGAAATTAAAAGAAGGAGAACATCTAAAGACTAGCCATAATTATAATTTAGTTAACAGTCTAAGACACCCCCCTCCCCACCATTTTGATTATTTAGAATTTAAACTTTCTTTGATAAGCATTGGACAGAGGGAGCCAAAATGGAGGACATGAAAGAAATGAAAAGCTACGCATGGTAGTGCACATCTGTCATCACAGCAATCAGCAAGTGGAGGCAGGGGGATCTAGAGTTCAAGGTTGTCCTTGGCTGCACCGTGAGCTTGAGGCGAGACTGGGCTACTGGTGTGTGTGTGTGTGTGTGTGTATAAAAAGAGGGAGGCAGGGAGTGGGAGAAGAAGAGATAGATTGGCTGGCTTTGTGGTTAACTTATATGCAATAGCAAGGAAGTGGTCAGAGGACAGTGTGGCCTTACATGTCTGTATTGCTGGAGTCATGAACAAGTAGTTATTTTCTAGGAATTGGAAGGAATTCAACAGATGAGACTAAAAGGAAGCAGAAAGGAAGAAATATTAACCCAAAGCTAACATTAATGTCAGAGCCAAAGACTGGAAACCGACAGGAGGGTATAGGGCACTTGGTTCTTGCTCTTGGATCAAAGGTAGACATTCAACCATAAGTACAAATCTGAGAAGTATCTGGGCAAGTTCCTGGGTTTTCTCTCAATGGGATGTCACGAGCCATTACAATGATTTTAAAAGCATGTGTAAGGGGGGTGAGAGACATGTGTGTCAAGTGAAGCAATTGTATACGATTGTCACGCTGTGGATATAGTCCGCATCCCTTCCCAGCCAACGTTTCGAAGAGAGTTAACTTTGCAAAAACACAGCCCAATGGCAGGGCTGGTCCAGGCGCTCAGTGGATGAGCTCTCCCTCAGCTGGTGAGAGGCCATGGGTTTCATCCTCAGGCCTGCAAACAAAACACAAACAAACAAACAAGCAAATCCCCGTGGCACCACCATGCATTTGGGTCTTTTGTTTTTGTTTTGTTTTT